TAGTAGAAGAGCCATCTTCTATAGTTGAACAGCCATCTCCCTTAGTGGAGCATAGTAGAAGAGCCATCTTCTATAGTTGAACAGTCATCTCCCTTAGTGAAGCATAGTAGAAGAGCCATCTTCTATAGTTGAACAGTCATCTCCCTTAGTGGAGCATAGAAGAACAGCCATCTTCTATAGTTTAACAGTCATCTCGCTTAGTGGAGCATAGAAGAACAGCCATCTTCTATAGTTGAACAGTCATCTCCCTTAGTGGAGCATATTAGAAGAGCTATCTTCTGTGGTGGGGCAGTCATTTCCCTTAGGATAGCCTAGTAGAATAGCTATCTCACGTAGTGAGATAGTTGTTCCACTGTCCCACATAGTTCCTCTTCCTAAGTGTAACAGCAATCTCCAATAGTAGGACGCGCGTCTTCTGTAGTGGGAAAACCATCTTCCAACGTGGAACAGCCATCTCCTGTAGTGGAACAGCCAGCTCCCATAGTGGAACAGCCATCTCCTGTAGTGGAACAGCCAGCTCCCATAGTGGAACAGCCATCTCCTGTAGTGAAACAGCCAGCTCCCATAGTAGAACAGCCATCTCCTGTAGTGAAACAGCCAGCTCCCCTAGTAGAACAGCCATCCCCTGTAGTGGAACAGCCAGCTCCCCTAGTAGAACAGCCATCTCCTGTAGTGAAACAGCCAGCTCTCCTAGTAGAACAGCCATCCCCTGTAGTGGAACAGCCAGCTCCCATAGTAGAACAGCCATCTCTGTAGTGGAACAGCCAGCTCCCCTAGTAGAACAGCCATCTCCTGTAGTGGAACAGCCAGCTCCCATAGTGGAACAGCCATCTCCTGTAGTGAAACAGCCAGCTCCCATAGTAGAACAGCCATCTCCTGTAGTGAAACAGCCAGCTCCCCTAGTAGAACAGCCATCCCCTGTAGTGGAACAGCCAGCTCCCATAGTAGAACAGCCATCTCTGTAGTGGAACAGCCAGCTCCCCTAGTAGAACAGCCATCTCCTGTAGTGAAACAGCCAGCTCCCCTAGTAGAACAGCCATCCCCTGTAGTGGAACAGCCAGCTCCCATAGTAGAACAGCCATCTCTGTAGTGGAACAGCCAGCTCCCCTAGTAGAACAGCCATCTCCTGTAGTGAAACAGCCAGCTCCCCTAGTGGAACAGCCAGCTCCCATAGTGGAACAGCCAGCTCCCCTAGTAGAACAGCCATCTCCTGTAGTGAAACAGCCAGCTCCCCTAGTAGAACAGCCATCCCCTGTAGTGGAACAGCCAGCTCCCATAGTAGAACAGCCATCTCTGTAGTGGAACAGCCAGCTCCCCTAGTAGAACAGCCATCTCCTGTAGTGAAACAGCCAGCTCCCCTAGTAGAACAGCCATCCCCTGTAGTGGAACAGCCAGCTCCCATAGTAGAACAGCCATCTCTGTAGTGGAACAGCCAGCTCCCCTAGTAGAACAGCCATCTCCTGTAGTGAAACAGCCAGCTCCCCTAGTGGAACAGCCAGCTCCCATAGTGGAACAGCCAGCTCCCCTAGTAGAACAGCCATCTCCTGTAGTGAAACAGCCAGCTCCCCTAGTAGAACAGCCATCCCCTGTAGTGGAACAGCCAGCTCCCATAGTAGAACAGCCATCTCTGTAGTGGAACAGCCAGCTCCCCTAGTAGAACAGCCATCTCCTGTAGTGAAACAGCCAGCTCCCCTAGTAGAACAGCCATCCCCTGTAGTGGAACAGCCAGCTCCCATAGTAGAACAGCCATCTCTGTAGTGGAACAGCCAGCTCCCCTAGTAGAACAGCCATCTCCTGTAGTGAAACAGCCAGCTCCCCTAGTAGAACAGCCATCCCCTGTAGTGGAACAGCCAGCTCCCATAGTAGAACAGCCATCTCTGTAGTGGAACAGCCAGCTCCCCTAGTAGAACAGCCATCTCCTGTAGTGAAACAGCCAGCTCCCCTAGTGGAACAGCCAGCTCCCATAGTGGAACAGCCAGCTCCCCTAGTAGAACAGCCATCTCCTGTAGTGAAACAGCCAGCTCCCCTAGTAGAACAGCCATCCCCTGTAGTGGAACAGCCAGCTCCCATAGTAGAACAGCCATCTCTGTAGTGGAACAGCCAGCTCCCCTAGTAGAACAGCCATCTCCTGTAGTGAAACAGCCAGCTCCCCTAGTAGAACAGCCATCCCCTGTAGTGGAACAGCCAGCTCCCATAGTAGAACAGCCATCTCTGTAGTGGAACAGTCAGCTCCCCTAGTAGAACAGCCATCTCCTGTAGTGAAACAGCCAGCTCCCCTAGTGGAACAGCCAGCTCCCATAGTGGAACAGCCAGCTCCCCTAGTAGAACAGCCATCTCCTGTAGTGAAACAGCCAGCTCCCCTAGTGGAACAGCCATCTCCTGTAGTGAAACAGCCAGCTCCCATAGTAGAACAGCCATCTCCTGTAGTGAAACAGCCAGCTCCTCTAGTAGAACAGCCATCTCCTGTAGCGGAACATCTATGTCCAGTTGTAGAACTGCAGCTTCTTAAGTGAAAGAGCCATCTTATGTAGTTATCTCCTCTAGAGGAACATCTTCTTCCTTGTAAATATATGTTTACTTTTGTCATTAAAAAAAAATTAAACTTCTGGTAAAAAAAAAGAAGGGGGGGGGGGGGGGAATAATTCCTGTACCAAAAATGTTCCTAGCAAAAAAAAAAAAAATATGTAAAAATTTCTGACAAAGTTAACATAAGACCCGGCCTAACTTTCATGGGACACGGTGGACCGCTGGCTGTATTACTTGTATGAGTGTTCTGTAGGTCTGCGAATCTACGCCTCTGGAATACTGCATACCTGAGAATCGTAAAGTATAAATAAGGCAACCAGTGATAGCGATCTGTTGTAGCGTACACTGTCTGGATGTCCAACTGATGAGACAAACACTTTGGGGACATTCACACATTGTAAGTATTGATATTATAAATAGAACAATCGTAACGTTTTGGTTATAGAATGTGACATTTATCACAGACTGCATTACACATTTTCTGCCTTGCTTCAATTCTATACACTGACAATAAAGTTCGTTTGTTTGATCGTTCTCTCCTCTCCAAAGCTGTTATATCTCATTTGTCTCAATGTCAGCTGGGTTGACCGTGGCGAAATGGTCAAGAAGTTTGTCTCGTGCTCGTGGGTTCGTGGGTTCGTTTCAAGGCAAGGTCAATCAGTTCCTGTGTGTTCCCTGGGTAGTTTTCAGGTCCCTATTATTAGGGGTGGGTGGGGGGGGGGGTGGAAAGGAATAGACCCACTAGCAAGCTTGTCGTAAAAGTCGACTAATTAGAGTTGTTTCCTTCTAAGTCAGAGTTCATGTGATTGAGAGGCAAGGATTCAGCAGTTAGCTTACAAATAAGCCAAAAATGTAACATGGATGTAGGCGCAAAACACAAGTTCTGGAACAAGACTAACATCCAGAAATGAAAAAACAACCAGAACTTTACACTAGAGTTTGCCACCGGTGAATGTCAAGAAGAAGAAGAATTCACGCATACAGTTTTTAAGCAGAACCCACGGGATCGTTGCTGAAGCTACGGAGTTGGGTCTTTGCTCTGCGCTCTCGGATGGTAGCTAGCCAATCTGCGATGAAGTCCATACTCGCCACATTAACTTTATTTAACAAGCCCGGTGACCACTGACGGTCTCGGCTGCCGAAACATGGTTTTTTGAGGATCAATTTTTACAGCGGAACATCTATGAAGAAGACGAGGGGAAGAACAATAGAGTGATGGATAAATCGTGTAGCTGAAACTAAAAGATGATGAACAAATCCATCACCCAAGCCACCCGAGAATAGCAGAACAAATACATGAGAAGTTATATTATTCGCGGAAACGCGAAATGTCAGACTGTGGAGATAATGGCAAATACATGTAATGTTGAATTTAATTATTGATTATCAAAAACTGATGCAATAAATTTAACTGCGTTTTACTGAGCTTGAAACGTAATTATTGTTTATAATTAATGTTTACCCTTGGCTCAAGGCTGCATACTTTCACAAGCTAAAGAAAATAGCGGGTTACTTGTCGTCTGTTGACCCGGCGAAATTACGATTATGTCACATCATAGATGAGTGGCATGCTTGGCGTTAAATGGCGGGACAAGATCATACACACTGAGGTATTACAACAGTCTTCTCAGTGCTCATTCTAAAAAGGCTCAGGTGGCAGGGTCCCACCTGGAGAATGGAGGATGGCAGAGTCCCTTCGGACATCCTCTATGCAGAATAAAAGATGGATAGACGATGTCTAGGTCGACCTCTACAACGAAATAAAGATGTGTACAAGCGGGAGATTAATGATACAGGTACTGAGGTGGACTAGTGGGAACAAAATGTCATGGACCTTGTTGTGTGGAGGACACACATCAGAAAGGGAATGCGAATGAAAGAAGAAATAATTGCAGAAAGGATGAAAGCTGAGCGTCTGAGAAGAAACACATTAAACCCAAATGTTGACAAAGCTGACCCGAAATACCATGCTATAATTGTTGAAGACTAGCCCTAACGCCGGCAGGTCTTGCTATTCACATTGGCCATCGCTATGGGCTGTGAGTACCATGCCTCCTCATAACACAGTATAACAGTATTGTCTGGAAAGTCGGAAAGGTGCCAACCCAAACATGAATGGTACTAGTTTGGATGCCATGCTTTGCTTTATGTTTTGATTGTGGCCATAATAAAATCAAGTCTCGTTATTAAATTGTCAGAAAGTGTATGCAAATATCAGAGCGAAATAAAAGCGATCAGTGACATCCAAAAACAGGTAACTAGACGATTACATTTAATTTATTCTGAATATAATCAGATTGCTACTTTTACCATAAAGGTTGGAACTCTTCACTTGCTGCTGAGGCCGAGTACATGACGCATATGAGTATGTCTCGAGTACTGTAATGTCGGTTCTTGGACTCAATTCAATTAATTTCTTCAGACATGTTATATTTGTTTCGTTATCTTTCAGGTACTAGCGGCTAATATAAAACATGGAGCCACTTCACATAGTTACGAAAGAAGAATTACCTGTTTTGTATGAGTGGTTGCAGAAACATCTTCCCAACACATATAAGGTAAATGTCAATCATGCTGTCAGTCAGTGCGTTATTGCAGAGTCTGAGCCCAAACGTACAGCAAGGAGGCATGGGAATCACAACCCATAGCGTGTTGTACACTTAATTTGTTGTACACTTTGTTGTAGTACACTGTAATTTCAAGAACCAAGTATTTAGGCCTAGGGTGCCTATTCTAGTACTCCGCTGGATATCTCCTTGATGGATGTGCTACAGTGTAGTCCTGCATACTATAACTGGCCCATTTGGCCCAGCATCATCTAACACAGTTGCTATCTTTACAAGTCAACAATAACGCTTGTGACAGGCCACATAAACTTTAATGGCATTAAAGTTACACGTCACAAGATGATGATGATTATTCAATAAAACGTACGATAATAACTCCCTATTATCTACTCTGAGAATATAAAAGAATTACACTCTTTTCTCAATGGACTCCTGCCATTATAATAAATAAATAGACATTAAACTGTCTCCCGTGTAAGTACGGTTAATTAAATAAAACCTCACAAAGAGGGAACGTCTGCTTCGAACAAGGGAAATATCTTGACTGCCGAATCCTTTGTGTTCTGCAGGAGCCTTTGTGTTAATCGCCCAGCATTCAATTAGCTGGTATCCCAGGTAACAGACCCGACCGGTGGTCGCTGTGTGAACCTTTCACCTGCGCTGTGACCACTAGAAGAAACTAGAAGAAACTTTAACTCTTTGGACAATAAGATTACAACATAGCGATCATATACATAACACGAAGACTAGGCAGTATTACAAAGACCACGTTTTGCCCATGCATCAGATCCATTGCCCTTCCTGCCTTGTTTATTCTGAAGGAAAAGTAACACCAGTACGTTTGGAATGAAGCATGGTGTAGAAACTACCGAATCTGAAGAGTAGTGTTCTGTCTGCCCACCTGTCAGGATGACCCTTTAGACCATCTGCAAACCATGGCTAAGAGTCTGGTCTGCTCTACCAAACACTGAGTTTTCTGGTTGCATTTAATTCTTCTAGGCCATGGCTACTATTCTTCAAAGTGAGCTTCTCCACGAGAGAGAGAGAGAGAGAGAGAGAGAGAGAGAGAGAGAGAGAGAGAGAGAGAGAGAGAGAGAGAGAGAGACAGACAGACAGACAGACAGACAGACAGACAGACAGATCTATAGAATAGAAGTAAAAAGCCTACACACACACATATATATATATGTATACATACACACACTTATACATACACACACAAACTGTTTGTAAGAATTGTAAACGCTTGTACGCATCCAACAACCAGTATCTGACCAATGAAAACAATCCGCTCACTTGACAGATGTACGGGACAGTCTACCTACAGTTGGAGGGAAGGTGGCCGGGTACCAGGTTCTACACTTTGGGATGGCCAGAGATCCGAGCCGTCGGCGAGGGCACTGTCGATGAATCTGAGAGCAAGGTATTGGGTGTTTGTAGTAACTTTAACATTTGTTAGGGACGCTGTCCCAACAAGTAAATATTAGCAATATGTTTATCCATTCTACTACTACTAATACCACCACCACCACTACTACTACTACTACTACTACTACTACTACACTACTACTACTACTACTACTACTACTACTACTACTACTACTACTACTACTACTACTACTACTACTACTACTACTACTACTACTACTACTACTACTACTACTACTACTACTATTAGTAGTAGTGGTAGTACTACTGTCACCACCATTGCAGGCTGCTGCTGCTGATGATGATGATGCTACTGCTAATACTACTGCTGCATCTACTACTAATGCTGCTAGTACTGCTACTGCTGTTACTGCTACTATTACTACTGCTGTTACTGCTACTTCTACTACTGCTACTAATACTACTGCTGCTACTGCTACTACTACCACCAATCAATCACTACCAACACTATTAACAAGTACAACAAGACCAACACAAACAACTTTCACCACCAATCCGACAACCACTACTAATACTATGGTCCTATTTAACGTTTCCCGGCCCAAACACAGCGTAATTGGGCTTTCATTCATACTTTCTCGCCGACAACACAGCCTTTAACAACCCTAGAAAGTTTAGAACTGGCCCTAACCCAAACCCCCCTACCCACAATCTAAGCCTAGTTCCCCTGAGAGAGTCCAGAGTACGTCCCATGGTTTTAAAATTGTTAACATTTTCCCCTCCTCTCTAAAAACCCGTTTTGCTGCAGAAAAGCAACTCTCTCCTCCTCGATAGTCCCACCAGAGACCACCGATGTACACACTAGCTCACTTCTGATTGGTAGTTCCTGAGCTGCGCAACCTTCGCACACTGCTATGTGGTGTTACGCAATATCGTTGATATCGCGTGTTGTATATTTCAGCACACCAGAGCTTTAAACACAGCAAAAACATGGAGAAACTGGGTCTAACACACAACTCCTCTAGATAGTGCTGCAACCTATGTCACATGCGTTCTCTTTCTCAGAAGAATAACGTAAATGCAAGACAAGCCTGAAAGCAAACAACCCGTAACCCCCTGTAAAGTAGACCAGTCCAAAAAAGTTATTAATGGAACGTAACCTACTTTCTCTGGGGAGACTAACGTGGAACTAAATGAAAACAGTACGACGTAGACGAGCCTAAGCAAGCATGGATGAAATGTCAACCAGTGAGTAGTTTGGCGGGGAAACGTAAATAGGACCAATACTAACACCACCACTACCGCTACTAATAACAAGTACATGACCACCATCAAAAACAACTACAACAACCACTACTAATACTTCTACTGCTACTACTACCACCACTACCACTACTTCAGCTACTGCTGTTAAGTAAATGTTAGGCCATATGATGTGAAGAACAACACCGCAACTAAGAAGATTATGTCAACAGATACAAAGGAAGACAACGAGCATGGTATACATTTGTCTAAGGTTGGGTCGACCCTAAATCAATATTGATTAGTGGAGATGTTGTTCAGTTTTAACTCCTACTATTCGTCTTGGCAGAGGAGCGAGCTGTGTCATCACTGCCTTTTCATGCATGTTTAATCATAATTTATTTTATTCATGAAGTGTTTCCCTTTGAGCACAATTACACATGTGATCACGAATCTTGATGTCCACTTACAGTGCCCTCAGTTTTTCAACCATGTCCGACATTTAAATGTTTACGGTCCTGACCTTGCTGATGTCGAGGAGCTGGTCCGCAGACCGGAGTTTGTGGACTGGACTAAGCCGGTACTGACTCACGGTATGTCCACGCCTGCCATCAGGTCTCACAACACATGCCCTGGCTTATCCGTGTTTATTTAATGTTCCTGATTTCTTTCTTGCACTGTATTAGTAATGTTGCAGCAGTAACAGCAGTTGCAGTCTAAACAGCAGTTGCAGTAGCAATAGCAGCAGTAACAGCAGCAGCAGTAGTAGGAGCCACAGCAATAACAGGAGTAGAAGCAGCAGCAGTACATAGTAGTTCCAGTGGCAGCAGCAGAAGTAGTACGTTTCCAGCTAGACAAATCTATGAGTATATCTTCTCTGTTAAGCATTATTCAGCTGTATTACCTAAAATACAACAAACAAAAAAATGCAGTATATAATCTTAGATAAATATTTAAACAAACGTTAGTCTCGCCAAACAAAGTAGGTCACTTACCATTGATAAGTTTTTTTGGACTAGTCTACCTTGATGGAGGTTTGCTTTCTGGATTGTCTTGCATTTGCGTTTTTATTCCGAGAAAGAGAATGCCTGTGACATAGGTCTCATCCCTATCTAAAGGGGTTTTGTGTTTGACGATATTTGTAGGTTGTTGAAAGCGCATTGCGGCATTGCGGAGCACCCCCGTATCCTTGTACCAAGTTCACGTGGCTCGAAGTCGACCAATCAAAAGTGAGCTAGGTTGAAGGTCGACCAATCAGAAGTGAGCTAATGTGTAACACTGTGTAATTGGGGAGAGCAACGTTACTATTACAGGATAAATAATTAATAATTCGAGTATTTATCACACTTATTTTAAAAAAAGGATTCGAAAAGTAGAAGATAATCGTGCTACTATGTGTAAATTAAACTACAACTGTATTGTGACATCCACTCTTCCCTCACTCAGCCAACTGTTACCAAAGTGCAGACGTTCTAGAAAAACTCAGCAAAGACACAGGGACACCTTTCAACAAACGGACAAGAACTCAACTAATGATCGCCTATCCTGGAGACATCAAACCATGGTGAGACGTTTGTTTTAATGTTGTTTATGTTGTATGAATAACTTGTACCAAACCCGACAAATTGTGTGTCCATTCAGAAATAAATTAAACTCCTTGTGTTGGTTGCTGTGTCCCGTTGTGACGAAAAGAACGAATAAACTCACTGCCTCTGTCATGTCGTAAATGTCAACTGATTAGTGCGTTTTCCTTGAAGTAGGAGTGCATCTGCATAAGAGGTGAGGAGCAAAGTGTCTGCATACAAATAAGCCAGATCTGTTTTTTTTTAAAAAAAAGATGATCAAAACTCAAATTCTGGAAAAAGATAAATCCAGAAATGGACGAAGAAACATAACTTTTCACAGGAATGTACAGCCGATGAACTTAAATAAGAAAGATGAGGAGGATATATTAAAGGAATGAAACGCATTTGATGTCGATTAGACAAATTAGGAGCAAAGAATGTCACCGTTTGCTGGTCTTAAATGTGAACACTTGATTAATAACAGGCCAGCTTTATTAGACAGGATTTAAACGGTGACAGAGAAATAAATACTTGGATAGCTAGACCAGTAGAGAAAGAAGATTATTATGGCCTGGAGAGAATGAGACACCTGGGTGTAACCAGAGGTTTTGGCCAGCTGACTTCACTCAGAGGAAAGGCAAGACGGACATATAACCAGATTGTGAAAGGTACCATCAGTATTGGAACTCTACGCTGTGTTCTGAAGATAAGGACGGAGCAATCATGGGTATGCCTTGAATGCTCTGTTTAGCTGGCGTGTCATTACTCTCTCCATGTTGACTCATGGATCAGTACTGGAACTCTGCGCTGGTTACCGAAAATGAGGACGGAGCACGCATGGGAATGCCCCAAGCGCTGTGATGTCAATTCTTGACTCAACTCAAGTCAACTAGGCCATATGGTATAATTAGAAGAGCACACTTGTGATCTGAGACTCTGGTAATCGTGTGATATGGCAACCATGACCGCTAACTTTTTCTTGTGGCGGGGCACCTAATCTAGATGATGATGTACAAACCTGCTGCTGCTATTAAACATTTAAAAAAAAAAAACAATCATTATTACAGTCCAGTTCCAGAGGGGTTTGAAGTCCGACCTATTGATCCACAGCTGCACACATCATACATGACATCCACTTGGCCACATCGTCGACAACACACGGATTCGTACATCAGGGCTGTTATAGAATCTTGTCACTCCGTTGGAATCTTTGACAGGTTAGTTTAAATACAACTGCACATATGTTTACGGGACAATCTATCTGGATATCAGTCAGGATTCTAGCATCATCTAAAACAGTTCACTCCCTAAATGGCTCGTTCCTGTGTCAGTAAAAAAAAAATCCACCTAAAATTCCATTCACTGTCCCATGTGAAAAGTCCACCAGACAGGAAGTTAGTTGCGTATTCTTTGCAGGACGTTGCAGAAACAACCCCAGCAATTTTGTGGCTGTTGTGGTTTTTCTAAGCAAATTTACGTCCAGTAGTTTGCCATTGCTTCCTGGACGGCCGGCTTCTCGATGCCACTGTCGAAACCAATGCAAGGCGCAGGGCCTGCAGCTGGGATCGAACACGGCACCCCGGCATTACGAAGTGCGTTCGCAACACCTAAGCCACAGACGCCGACACCAGACAGTAGACCTGGAAAAATCCAACAGCTCATACATGTATTAAATGCATAAGGCATTCGTCAGAAGTAGCAACACCCAATGTCTGTGACTAGAATTGTTTTCATAGTTGATGGAAACTTAAAGCACACCACCATTTCCGTGGCAACCAGCCATTCGCCATTTTTTGAATACGCATATATAGCTCAGGGAGCACAGACAAAGGACTCCCCTTAAAATGCACAGCTCACAGTGTCACACCATGCACTTAAAACAGTGCCTGACAGGTGAAAACAGATTTCGTCTTCACCTCGTTTGCTGTCCCATCCAGTGTCCTACTATTTAAACCCCAAACTTCCAGCAATAGATGTTAAGATGTTAAGAGACATAAAGGTTCGGGCTCAGGCCCCCGTGAGGGCTGAGATTTTTTTCACGTGGACTTCTAGTAATTTGTCGTGGTTTCTGGGTAGTGTGACCGAACGCCTGTGTGTATTGTTGCGCACGTAAGAAATTCCTTGGAATCGAAAAGAGTAGCCTAATGGTGATGCCCTGGCAAAATTTTGAGTTAAAAATCTACCCAAAGTATATATAATGATCCCGTGTTTGTGCATCATGTCATGTTTTTCTATCTCATGTTACGTATTTGTGCATCATGTCATGTTTTTCTATACCATGTCACGTATTTGTGCATCATGTCATCTGTTTATACACTAGTTTTTACATTATGTAACCTGTTTATTATGGACCTCTGTTTATACATCATGGTCACCTGTTTATACATCATGTCACCTATTTATACACCAAGGTAACCTGTTTATATATCATGAACACTAGTTTATATTTGATGGTCATCTATTTATACATCATGGTCACCTGCTGATATATCATAAACGCCTGTTTATACATCATAGTCGCCTTTTCAAACATCATGGTCATCTGTTCAAATATCATGATCACTTGTTTATATCTCATGGTGACCTATCTACTTTATCGTCACCTGTTTATACATCACGATCACCTGTTTATTTGCCATGGTCCCCTGATTATACGTTCTTGGCGCCTGTCTATACATCTTAGTCACCTGTTTATACATGATGGTCCCCTGTTTATACATTCTGGGTGCCTGTCTTTACATCTTAGTCACCTGTTTATACATGATGGTCCCCTGTTTATACATTCTGGGTGCCTGTCTATACATCTTAGTCACCTGTTTATACATGATGGTCCCCTGTTTATACATTCTGGGCGCCTGTCTATACATCTTAGTCACCTGTTTATACATGATGGTCCCCTGTTTATACATTCTGGGTGCCTGTCTATACATCTTAGTCACCTGTTTATACATGATGGTCCCCTGTTTATACATTCTGGGTGCCTGTCTATACATCTTAGTCACCTGTTTATACATCAGGGGCGCCGTAATCACATTGTAATTTGACACCATCCACAGGGACGGGAACCTGGCAGCCTTTGAGCTAGAAAACGAGTACGGATTTTCAGCCCTTCTCCATGTCAAGGACGAATACAGAGGTCTCGGGCTTGCCAAATGCGTGGTCAGTCTCCTGGCCCAGAAATTGTTTAAAGAAAACCGACCAATCCCTGCAGCTGTTATAGCTTCCAACAAACCAGCTGTGGCTTTACATGAACAGATGGGGTTTAAAACAATCAGCTACCTTGATTGGTTCAATTCATTACGTCCTTCTTAGGACGTTATTTTTTGTTATTTGAAGCCCCACTCTGGCTTTTGCCAGGGGCCGCAATATAGGCAGGTCATCATTATGGCCAAATGTCTGAACGCGGTTTCTGGGACCTCTCCACGGTGATCCTCACCCGCATGGTGGCACTTTGTGTCATCGGGTGTTTATCGCTTGTGTGATGTCCTGGTGGGGTAAAAAGCCATTCCATTCCATTGATTGGTTCGTACATTCCATGACATCTGAGAAAATCATGGCTTCTGGGTAATCATCATCATCATCATCCGGTCGTTCCGTTTTATGTCTCAGAGATTTTGCAGTCTAGTCCACCGTTCCGTTCTGTCACGTGCAGTTCTTTCCATATCATGAATCCAGAATCTCTGGTCTCTCTCAAAAAGGTTCGTTTTAAGATTTCTTTAGAACATCCTAGTTTCTCCTATCTAATTGTTTCCCATTTTAGTGCTTGTCCGTTTCACCACACGATAGGCCTAATATATATTCATCTTTTGTATTATTTTACTGTTAAAACAAGCTGTTTTCCGGACATTTTTTTTTTTCTCGATTTCTCTGCCTTTCTTCCTCTGATGAACATCCTTAGGTTGTCCACATCTGGAATAAGTAGAGTGGGAAATGAAGGAATGCAAAGTACCATGGGATGTGATAGACAGACAAGAAGCAGGTGGGCAGCAATGGAGATTACTTGTGAATAATTTTGGTTCAAGGAGACAGCCCAACCAAAAACTCTGACAACAAAAGAAAAACTTGAAAGATATAAACAACCAATCACAGCAGAACGAAATGCACGAACAAGAGATGGGTTTATACAAAGACAGACAGGAAACGGGTGAAGATATCAACGATAGCAAAGACATATTTTCTGAAGAAGAAAGCAAACAAAGAAGACAAAGGCAACGCAGGGGATGATCTTTCCCTGTCGGAGTCTTTATCAACATCAACAGAAGGTACAATTGACAATGAAACAACAATAAACGAAACGGATACAGAGACGTAAGACCGGCAAAAATAAACATTGTAGTCTACGCTCTGAACGGGTAGAAAGCATTCAGAAGTCGTAGTTAAGGTCCATCACCTGGATCTACACACTGTGCAAGCAGGAGTAAATAGTAATGAAAGAGCTGACCCGCTAGCAAGTAACGCACCAATGAAAACGGGAAGAAGCAGGTAAAGAGCCGATAAAATCATGTACTGACTAGTTTGGGCGATAACGGCGAATCTCTGACGCTAACACGACTGTGTGATCAAGGAGTGAAGCATGGTGAAGCAGGTCTACGTCGTCTTCCAGGTAAAGACAGGAGATACTATAACCAATTCCTTATGGGGATAACCAGTAGAGGTGCACTGGAGCGACTGCTGCATCGGAGGACTGAGCTTGTATGGAAATGCCCAGTGTGCAAGGACTTCGATTGTTATAACATAACATAACATAACGTACGATTTTTCTTCGATACCAACTATCAATAACATCCACACTATTTCTCATTAATTTCTCTTGTCTCGGAGAAAGATCTGACTAAATGGTAAAGATATTTTACATAGAATACATCCATCGTTTAAATGTTGCTTTTGTTTTATTTTGTTTTGGCTAATGCACATAGAATCTCTGGGGTGCAAAAAATGCAAAATATTAAGGGGAAGTAATTCAGTGTAATTTAAACAAAAAGAGATAACTCTTAGCAAAATACTAGAAACATTTGCTTTTGTGTTCTGACTGCAGAAACGGAAGACTTAAATTAAAAATCTTAAAATTTATATTTATACTATTATTTGTAATAAACATCTGCATGATTTATGCAAGGACTAGAGGAACAAAATATACCTAATTGTGTGCATTCAATATAGCGACACTTTCAAAATCTTGCTCTAGCTGACGCCTGGGGCAAAATGTGCACATCTGACATTCATACTTACCTGGCACAGGAGCTACGATGATCAATAAGGTCGTGCTCCCAGGATGAGGCCCTTCCATTGCACTTCGGTTGGGTTGACGCCTGCGATCACCCCAAATGTGGGTGACTCGAGTGCGTAATTTTTTCGTAAGGGGGACTGCGTTCGCGCTATCCCCTCCATAAAATTAAAAGAGAACCAGAAAAGCAGGTCATATTTGTCGACCTTTTAAGGATGCAATTTTTCGTTAATTGAAGCCCCACCCTGGACCATGCTGGGGGCCGCAATACAGTCCGGCCATAGATATGGCGGTTTCTGGAACCTCTCCACGGTGATCCTCATCCACATGGTGACACATTGTGTTATCAGGTGTTTATCGCTTGTTTGATACGTCCTGGTGGGGTAGAAAGTCGGTCAGTCAAAGTAGTAAGTCGGCATCAGAAGCATTTCAGAGCTTAAAGAGGTAAGTACGACAAGAATGTGAACCATCACCTGGTTTGTTTTCATAATACAGTGTGTGTGTGTGTATATATATCTATATATATATATATATATATATATATATATATATATATATATATATATATATATATATATATATATATATATATATATATATATATATATATATATATATATAATGAGATCAATCAAGGATATGCCTGGACCAGGGCTGCCAATTGGATTTTTATCCAATCCCAAGCTAAGCTGGAAAAAAAAAATACAAAAGCAAAGAACAATAAATAAAAACACAAGATTGATAAACAGAACATATTTTATAGTTACGAAACGATACACTTACACACTTTTATAAAAGGACTAGCTGGTACCGGCCACGAATTGCTGTGACATAGTTTGGCTAAATGGAAAAGAAAGAAAATAGAAATCGCATGTGTCTAATATGGCTACTGTCGCAATCATTGTCTGCTCAGATATAGAGACAGTCTTAGATGCCCCCCCCCCTCTCCCACCACCACCACCAAATCCACCTACTACTCTCTCCCTCATCGAAGGTTTTTGGAAAAGAGAGTCAATATAAATCGCACGTGTCTAATATAGTTAATGTCGCAATCATTGTCTGCACAGATATAGAGATAGTCTGGTTTTCTGACTTTAGAACACGCAACATATAATTGTGTCTTTATATTAGTGGTCGTTTAAATGGTATTATTAGCACAGTAAAAAAAATTGTTTTTTGGTTATCACATGCTAAAGCTGTTTGTATTTTTTTAAGAGACGGAAGTAAAGCTTACTACTGTAAATACAAAGTAAGTCGTTAAAAAAATTAGAATAGCGGAGGTAGCGTTAGTAAAATCTAAAAAGATTAAGAAATGAAAACATTAAAATTATGTGTTAAGCTCTTTAAGTTAACAATTTCAGTCATCACCCCCTCCCCTCCACATCCACCGACTACTGCTCTCTCCCTCTTCGAAGGATTTGAAAATCATCACCTGACGATATTTTTTGTAACTGACCTTGATGTCCCTGTCCACCCGGACTAAAATGGGGAGCAGGAATTGTAATGAGTAGTAAATGCAGCTATTGTAATATTTACCACACCATCCTTCAAGTGTCAGTATAACTACTACCACGACCACCACCACAATAACTAAAATAATATCAGGCTATCCTCCGAATAACGGTCCCAAATTATCGAGGCCCAATAATAGAGAGACCAGGGCCGTCGTAGAGCATAGGCCCGCTGGGCACTTGCCCGGGTGCCCCACCAACACAAGGGTCCCTTGCTAATCTGTGTCTGTAAAGTGACTTGCCGAAAATACAAAATTTTGTTTAATATATTAATTCCTTGTAACATAAAACTGAAATTATACCCCCTCCCCCTGCCCCCTAGTTGTGTTGAAATAAAATAAATATATATTGCATATTAACGACTTTGTTACGTTTCATTCATGTGAGTGGTTGTCGTAGAAGCCACAGCACACTGATTTTCCTAGAGGCCCATAATGCTGTTAAAACGGCCCTGGAAGAGACAGTTTAACTGTGTATTTAACTTCGAATTTAATCACACAATGTTTGTTCATTGGTTCTGTTTACTTGTGTGTGTGACTGACATCATCTTCGCTATCTTCAACGTTAAACTCACTATCATTTCATCATCCAAAATGATGTTTTCCCGTTTTAAATTTTAAAATGCGAACACAATAATATACACTGCACAATTTATTGCCTGCCATATTTCGCTGAATCTCGTCAGGTGCATTACTAACAGAGTTAAATCGACGTATAACGAAGCACAAAAGGAATCCTTTTCTTGCAGAAATGCATAAATCCCACCGTCGAGTTGATGTACATCTATCCGCTGGAAACCGAAAATCAGTCACGTGATTACCATGGTAACTTCAAATTGATAACCCGATCTTTCTGTTCACATAACATATAAGCGTTTTATTGATACAGCCACTATCCATTTTAGCAAACATCTGTTCAGTGGCGGTAAATAATCATGAAAACACAATCTTTATCAGCTACATATTGAGGTTCAAGCAAATGACATCCTGTCGAAGAATTACTTTCTATCTTCTTGACTGATCTTGATGCCGGATCTCCGCTCATTTGTGTGTGGAGCATTAAGGGATGTGTTTTGCCACTCTGTTTCCAAGCTGTCTCTCCGTTCAACCGATATAAGTCAAAGGACACTTACATGTCGACTGATAAATGCAATTGGATTAGGTGTACCAAGCAAATGATTCTTTAACAGGTGGAATAGGAATGGGAGTAGTCTTGTATCTCACCACTGGGACAGCGGCAAAAAACGTTTGACCGATGATTGCTTTTAGTCGATCCTGTAGATGTTGCACGACATCGTCTCATCAAAATGTTAGTTGGATGCATTCTGGCAGTTTTGGAGTTGTGATTTCAATGGGGGTTCAGTTTGGTGGGATGCTGTGGCGTTTTATGAATCCTTTTGGGTACCCATTTAGATGTAAAGTTGCATGGCCAGTGATCCACATTTGAACTATAGCCTGTGATCCACATTTGAACTATAACCTATGATCAACAGCTGAACTGTGGCCTGTGAATCACAGCTAAACTATGGTCTGTGATCCATTGTTGAATTATTCACATTTAAATAATGGCCTATGATC